TTGAAAGGGCAACAAATTACAATGATGTGCCCACTTCTCAGTTGTGACCGATTACACTCTGCATTTGAAGTAACCTAAGTATCTGTCACTCAGCATGCAGTCATGTCCTAAACAGTCCTATGTACTACCCTGAACGTCCCTGCCTTTGGGTGGTGACCAGTTCCCTCTAATTCATCTTCTCAAAAGTACAACTGTAACATGACTCTGTTCTGTGTGTGTGTGACAGTGTGATATTCACTGTCTCTTCACTGATTTTCACTGCTTTTTGAGCAAGGTCAAGAGACAGCATGCATGCTGCTTTTTCCCACATAAAGAGATGTTAAGTGCTCTTCTCTTGAGTCACTTCCCTCTTCCATCCTCACCCACCATAGCCTTTATTTGACCCCCTTTCTGGTATAGACCCTTAAATAAGCCATCTATGTTTGCCATCTGTCTTTGTTATTTTCCTGTTGCTGTGATAAAATACTTTGCCAAGAGCAAGTTGGGGGAGAGATGGTTTGTTCTGGCTCACAGTTTGAGGGAATGGTCTGTCATGTCAGTGAAGTCAAGGGAGCAGGAACTTGAGGTATCTGGTTATATGACATCTGCAGAGAGGGATGAATGTTGGCACTCAGCCACTTTTTTCTTTTTTATACAGTCTAGGACCATGGCCCAAGGAGTGGTTGGTGCCTTTTATTTTCAGAGTGGAGGTTCCCTCTCAATTAACCTAACTAAGACAACCCCTCACTGTCATAGACAGAGGCAAACCTAACTAAGAAAGTCCCTCACAGCTGTACCTGTAAGCTTGCCTACTAGGTGATTCTAGAATCTGTCAAGCTGACAACCCACACTGTTGCATCATTTTAATTTCTTCATTCACTTTTGGTTTTGTTATGTGTGCTTAGCACCTAGGATCAACCTTAGGCCCTTTCTAGGCAAATGTGCTACCAGTACATTAGATCCACAAGCTCTTTACATGATTTTATTCTGAAGCTGCCCAGGCTGGCCTTGAACACATTGTGCATCTCAGGTCAACATAGGTTGGTTGAGCTCATCAGTATCTGATGTATTCGACACACTGTGTTTGTTCTCAGCAGCTGCATCACATAGTTCATCACTGCCTCCTGGGACACTTTGTTTTCATGTCTTTGAGGACACCCCACATTCTGACCTCTCTCTTTTCCCTGTGGGCTGCTGGTTCTGCCACATGAGTTCCTCCTCTTTTCTTACTAGGTGTTCCGGAGTTTGTACTCGGTGCTCTTTATCCGTCATGCTTAGTTCACTGGTGATCTCATCCCAAGTGTTATTCTGTAAAACCCTTAACTGGTATCTTCATCCCGGACTCTTTCTCAACCTCAGGTTTCTATATTTAACAGGATGCTCAGATTTGTATTTGGCACCACTTTTGTATCTTTCACACACAGTTCAAACTCTGTAAGCAGAAGCCTGTTCCTGAAGCCTGTCCCCCAGTAAATTTATTCTCTTTTGGCCTTCCTGTCTCAGGCAGTTACTATTCTGGTTCTTAATATAATAGCATCATTCCAAGCCCTCTGTATCCCATTCCACAAATAATGCATGAATTTAGAAATCCCCTTATCTTTCCAAATATTTCCAGTAGTCCAGCATGGCTCATCACTGCCATCGTCATTTTCCTCTTCTGCGCTAGCATCAGTTTTCATGAAAATATCATTCAGATGCCTGTATCAGGTAGATGAACTATAATGAACCTTGCAAAGGACCCAGACTCAGGCCTGAGATGTTACTGCATTCTTAGCTTTTGGGTCAATGGAGATTAGACAAGTAACAAGCTTAACAACAGTTAAGTTTCCATGAACTTATATTGAAGTCATAGTCATAGGGTATTAGGTCAGATAGGCAAGCTGATAATAAAAATGGCTGGTAAAACATAATCCAAGATAACTTTGGCTCTTCAAGTGTAATATCCCGTATTTCAACTTTCACATTGTTCCACTTAGTCAATGGCCTGGTAGTAGTCTGTGGCTCTTGAATACAGATGTGGCTTCTCCAGAGAACTGGAGTTCAGTCTTATAAATTATTTATCTAAGATATTTTGTGATAGTAACAGAAGGCTGAGTAACACACAGATCATTACAATATCTCAAATTATCTATTTTTCCCCTGGTCTTTCCTGTTCTTGAGGTTCTTAAATAAAACAGCCAGATTATGATTCCTAAATCATAATCAACGTCATGTCTAAACCCGAAGTAACTGCCGCTTTGCTCAGATCCAAGGCCCCACTCTTCAACCTCCATCGGCTGGCTGCTGCCTTTACCTCATTTCCTGCCTTTTGACATTAGCCTTCTGCTCTCATACTGGCTTCCTTGACATTCTTTGATCTAGAACACCTGGAACTGGTCCTGCCTCAGTGCCCAGGTACTGGGTATTTTCTTTGCTTGGGCAGCCGTCCCTCAGTTAATAGCTAACTCCTACCTCCTTCATGTCTTTGCTCAGTTAGCATTTTTCCAGGGAGTCTTCTTCTCTTCAGGGCCCTGGAGCCCACCCTTCACCCTCCTCACATTATCTACTTTTTTTGCTTTGTTTTGGTGTTTGTTGTTTTTGAATATATTCTACAGTGTATTGTTTTACTATGTTATTTTTTGTCAGTTTTCTTTCCCAGCCAGAATAATGAGTTTTAAAGGGACAGTATCATTACCTGTTGTGTTTATTGATATATCCAAAGCACCCGAGAGTATCTGGAGCAGTGTTCAGCATTTAACAAGTGGTTATTAAAAATTTACCATTTATTTATCTTTATTTTTTTTCTGAGCTTATAATATAATATAATTACATAATTTCCTACCTCCTTTTTCTCGCTCCAAACCCTTTTATATACCCCTTCTTGTTATCTTTCAAAATCCTGGACTCTTTTTTCATTGTTGTTACACACACACACACACACACACACACACACACACACAGACAGTACAGCCTGCTCAGTCTATGTAACGTATAGTGTATAAAGCATATATTTTCATGCATGTGTTTTCAGGCCTGACTGTTTCATATTGGTTGACCAATTGGTTTGCTCATTCGTGGAGAAGGCTATCTCTCCTGCTCTCAGCATTCCTTAGTTGCCTGTAGTTCTTTGGGTAGGGCTGAGGCCTCATGAGCTTTCCCCAGCCCTGTTGGCATTTCTTTTTTTAAATGAATATGATGGTATTGTTTAGATCATGGTCTCCAGCACACCAAAGGCTGAAGCTGTGAATCATGCTTTTGGACTGCGAAGGCCACAGACACAGTTTTGAGCATTCCCAGGTGTACACTGGGTGCTTCTACTGCTAGACACTACCACGTTATTTGGACTTTGGGGGCCTCTCTGCCTCTTGCTTATTTTCCTTTTCTAAGGCTAAAATTTTCATTTTGCTATTTCCTATTTTGTTTTTGTCTATGATTGACCTGGTCCTAACTTATTTCCAGACATTCCTCCATATTCTTAAATTTCTTTCCTCAAGAGCCCTGATGCTTGCCACCATAACTGGACATGGCTCACATGAACAGAGTAATTGATAGTTAGTTTTTAATCCAAGCTAAGCAACCACTAAGCTATCTTCTGCATCAGCAATGGAGAAAACGGTGAGATTTTGGGAGACCGGTTTACTGATTTTAGAGGGCCCTCTCTGGCTCTAAAGCAATGCTCCTGTACCTACTATTAGAATTCTATGCAAAGCCCCAGTCCATCTTTTCTTATTATGGTAGGTGTTCCTCTAGTCCTGTTTATTTGCTTGTTTTGGCCTTCCCCCTTCTCCAATTTGCTACTTTACCAAGTGTTTAGTTGGCCTGGAAAAAAATAGCCTTCCTGCCAAGTGTTTTATCTTTGTTCTTGGAGCTGAAATTTCTCTTTTCATTTGTCAGTGTTATGTATTAGTACAAAATCCAGACCTGCAGCTGGAGAGATACTTCACAAACCAACACTCTGAAAAAAAATTTGCCTTATGCTAGAATAAATGTCACCCAAATATCAGATAATGTCGCCGGGACATGATTCAGAGTAACTATATTCAGTGGTTCCTAAATGTTATAATTATTTTTTTTTGTTTTATTTTTAATTATGTGTAGTGTTTGCTTGTGTGTGTGTGTATGTGCATGCGTGCGCGCATGTGTGTGCCCACACTTAATGTGATTGCAGGTGCCAGTGGAGGCCAGAAAATGACGATGAAGTCCCTGGAGCTGGAAGTACAGGCGGTTGTGAGCCACCAATGTGGACACTAGGAAATAGATTCAGGTCCTGTGTTGTTAAACGGCTGAGCCATCTCTCCAGCTCAAATGTAAAATGTTATGTATGACTCCTTTGAAAATAAAAGTTGAATTTGCTGGGATTCGGGGACCCAAGCAGTTCTGTTGCACCAAGATCAGAATATTGTGGTCTTCACTAAGTGCTACTGGAACTTGAGCCACACTCGGCCATCAAATGTCTTCATGAGATTCTACAATGCCCTGGCTTTTAACATAAGTTATTACTTCAAAATCATTTTTCTTTTTAAAACTTAGACTTGTTTTAAAAGACTTTTTTCTTTTTCCAGCCTCTTGTCATGCACACTTAATTATTGCTTCATAATGTCACTCTAGGGAGTGGCTTTCTCCCAGAGTTTTTGAGTATTCAAAGACGCAGCAATACAGGCCCAATAGTTCTACACCTGCGGAAAAAGACTCCAAACTTAGGTGCCTCTCCGATTCAGGGTAGAACCCAGGCCGACCTGGGGAAATTGGTAGCTGCTAGGTACCTGATTCCTGCCTAAACAGGCAAGTAACTTTGAGATAACTCAGACCGCTTTGCGCTCAGGCTGGGAGCGCATCGGCCCCGCCCCGGCCCCGCCTGCCCTGGTCGGCCGCCAGGTCTGCGCAAGGCTCCGGTCGCGGAGGTGGAGCCCGAAACCTCAGCCAATGGGCAGCAGCGTGCCGGGCCGGCCTTAGCACGGTTGCCTAGGCGACCAGCGAGCGGCCCCGCCCCGCCGGGCAAGGGCTTTGGCGCGCGGCGGATTGAGTGCCGCTGGAGAGAGAACCCCGGGTGTCTGCTGCCAGCGTCCGCGCGATGCCCAAGTGGAGCCTGCGGCGGAGGCCGGGCCGCACACTCGGACTCCTGCTGCTGCTGGTCTTGAGCTTCCTGGTGCTCCGCAGGTGAGAGAGAGCCCCGCCCAGCACCTGCCGGACTCCCCTGGCTCCAGCCCAACACCGCAGGTTCTTATTCTGCAACAAGTCCAAGGAAAGCGCGACTCTTATCTCTTCTTTTCTTAGAGCGCTTCGACAGCGCCAAGTCCCTTGAGCCTCCAGTCACTCTCACGCCGCCTCTGGGTAACACCAGGTAGACACTGCCCTGTCAGTCCCGAGGGGCCAGTGCGTCGAGTTTCCCGGTGCTCCACACTTGAACTGGCTTTCGCAGCCCTCTTCAGACGCCCCCGTCACTGCTTCATGTAGCCCACCCTGCTTTTCTTAAGAGTTCCCCACGTTTCCTCCCGAGCTGAGAGTCTCTATTCTGCAAAGCTAGTGTTCTTTTGATGCCCACGGTTAAGGTGCATTTCGAGTCCTAGGGACACAGCCCATGACGGGCCTGTCCCAGACTCTCTCAGTCCCGATTTATTTACACCACGCTGCAGTTTATAAGTGTCTCTTCACTTACTCCTTCGCTTTTGTAGTCCCCCTTTTGTAAACTGCTGCTGTGGCAGTCGGTGGTGCTCACTGAAAGAAAGGTTTACCCACTGCCCGTGAACAAGTTTCCTGTGATCCACTCCAGAAGTTTCCACAAAGCTATCTATTTATAGGAGTCTACAGCCCTGATGATCTTCCAGGTCGATGCCTGGCACTTTGCATATTCAAAATCTCTGTTGCTGAAAAGCTCCTCAGCAACATGGAATGTTTTGGCAGTAGACTTGAGGTGAAGGCCCAGCCCTGAGAACTGGTGGTTGCCTTCATCTTCAGTTTTGTCTTTGGTTCCTTTTTCATTCCCTTTCCTCACTTACCTGAATTTCTTCTGGAAAATATGGATTTTTTTTTCTTTTTTTTTTTAAGACCTGAGTGCTTTTTGCTGCACTTGGAAACTTTACACTGACTTTTTTTTTTTTTTTCAAGACTTACACATTTTTTGTTTCTGAAAGGATGTCACTGTATTGTTGGGGAGAATAAAATGGATCTTTTCTCGTTCTGGGGCCCAGGAAATTCATAAGGTTTTCTATTTCCTTAGTTGTTCTGCTTTCCTCATCTTATCTATTTTACCCGCCTTTTCTTTGAAGTTTGGTCGTGGCTTTTGTCAAATGCACAGCTTTCCCCAGGAGCTAGCCTGATGTAACTCCAGAGGAATCACTTGGGGCCACAGGAGCTCTTGAATGGAACAGGGAATCATGGAGCTGGGGCTCCAGAGAAGTATTGCTTGTTTTTGATTGGAAGTACACCTGTCCCTGCAGGTGACCCAGACAGGTGACTGTGAGGGCAATCCTGGCCAGGTAGCATTTTTTAATAGTCCCCAGGAAAATGCATGGGAAGGAGGCAGGGAGTTTGTCACCTGGCAGGACACTGATGAGCTGTCACGCAAGTGACTGGACTGTGAGGAAGCCAGCCTCACTGTCTCATAAGTGACTAACTGACTCCCCACCCAGGCAAGGTGGCCGCAGCAGGAATCAGGCTGGGGCTGAACCGGTCAGGAATAGTAGCAGAGAACCTATAGCTGTGACTCAAGCCCAGAAACAGGTTGAAATGCTAAGTTGCTTCATGACCCCTTCCTTTTCAGCAGGTAAGGAAGGCTCTGACCTAGGGTCAGGGCCATCTTTTGGGATCCTTTGAGCATACAAGTCTCTTTGGCATCCTTTTGACTGTATCATCTGCCTAGGTGCTTCCTGCCCAGTTCTTTCTGTCAAACTTGTGCTGGCCACCAGTGACTACTTTAATAGCCGTGGAGCAAAGGAAAACAAACAGGCTCTCTCTTCCTGGCTTACCCCATGTTTGACTCCGTCATTAACTGAGTGGGTGGCGGGGGCCTCTCCCAGCTGTTGTTGGGGAATGTTGGTGTGGCTACTGGGATATAGGTCACATGGAAACTGGCTCCTCTGCTTACAGTGCTCTGGAGCCCAGCTGTGAGGACGAGACCTTTTCCTGGATCTCAGCAGCAGGTATTTGGAGGTTGCTGGGGGTAGGGTATTTGGCTTAAAAAGATTGCTCCTTCCACCCCAGGCTTTTCCTTGGGGTTGATTCACAGTTTTATAGTTGTTTGATTATATTATATGTAAGAAATAGGAGGGGCTACGACACGACCCTGAAGGAAGATTTTATTCGATTTTTTTTTTGTTCCACACTATTTTATTAAAAGCTTTCTTTATATGTAGAAGTGTGACTGTTATACAATGAAGTGTACTTGATCAATCAACCAGCTTTGATATAGATATGGTGGGAAAGTACCACTACGATTGAAAGTAGTGGAAATAGCCATTTTCCTTCTCCCTGAGTTTTTTGTACCCCACTGTCACCCTTCCCTCCCACTTCTTCCTCTGTAGTACTCAGTAACCACTGGTGGGGTTTTGTGTGCCCCCATTTGTTATCTGAGGTGTGCACTCTCGTTTGGCTTGGTTTCTTTTCATTCATCTTAAGAGTGGTAGCGTGTATTATCAGTGTGGGCCATATCTTTGAGTTTGCTCTCTTACCTTTTTTTGTCCTTCCACTCTGAACATAAGCAAGTCTATTTGATATGATCTAAGCATGGTCTTTTTATGACCTTTTTCCTCAGTTCACTTCACTGAGCAGTAATTCAGCCAGCTCTGCATATCTTAGGCTTAGATTTTATCTGGCCAAAAGGCAGAGAGAGAGAGAGAGAGAGAGAGAGAGAGAGAGAGAGAGAATGAACTAGCTTTATGAGATTAGTCAGCCTCATGTTTCTAGAGGATGTGTTCACTTCTTCACTCAGCTCTTTGATACTCACTGTTCTGTACCACTAGTATCTAGATTTTAGGTCCTGGTGGTGTCTTTCCCTCAAACTATTCCTTGGTAAAAGTTGATGGTTACATTTTTTTTAAAATTTAAATTAATGTGCTTTCCAAAGGTAATGTGTGGACAAACAGTGTCTCTCTTCCTGAGGGCTTGTGAAGTCACTGATTTTACGAGCTTTATGTATTTTAGGACTCCAGTCTGTTTGAGGCCTGAGTCACTGGCCTTGGAGTGTCCAAACTCTTTGGGTGCTGTCCCTTTCATCTTTTAGTAGTAAAGTTTTTAGAATCTGGGAAGTGTCTTCGGGCAGGCCTCATACAGAGGGTGAAGCAAAGCAACCTGCAAGTGGCTCCCAGTGCGGGAGAGGTAAGGTATCTGAGTTACTCTGTGTTGGTAGGATGGCATCGGCATTGGGATTTTTATGGAACCGCAGTGTCGATTTCTGAAGGAGATCAACATTCTCTTTGAATGTTGACACTCTTAAAGGGAGCAAAGAACTGTGTAGCATTGGCATTAAATAAATCAGAAGGAAAGGAAGGGTTCTTCCCACCCCGGGTCAAGTAATTGCGATGAAAATCCATGCGATTAATCTTTGCTAAAATGACAGTTTGACCTTCCTAACTTGTCATCTCCAGAAGGGACAGTCCTTCTGGTGTGGGGATGTTTTCTATTCCACGTAGTCTCACAGTTTGCTTAAATCTATTGCTCTGAATATTAAAGCCCATGCTGAAAAAAAGAGTTCCCCCTGTGTGAGACTGTCCTTGGGATGAAAGGGCAGGGTTGGTTTTCAAGGCTGATGGTAAGGAAGCAAACACTTTCAGACTGCTGTTTGTTTTCCCGAGGGAGACTCAGCTGATATTCACAGCTCCTTTGGTGACATTCAGCACAATACTGGGTGTTTCCCGTTTCAAGAAAAAAAAAATGTTTTTAAGTGTTTAATTTATAGGTAGGCAATAAATGAACATTCAGAGTGTAATGGGAAAATTAGTGAAAAGAAACTCTTATATAGCTAGCTTGCCTTTCCTTCCTACCAGAGACAGTTAGTGATGAGAGGTTCTTTTAGGTGTATTGTATGCACACACAAGAAGAGAGCTGTATTGTTTTCCCACTGGTCCATTAGATACATAATTTATTTAAGCATTCTTCAGTTGATGGGCATTGATTGTTTTAAATCTTTTAGCTACTGAAGTAAACAGCTGCAATGAATATACAATGGGTGGATTTATATAAGTAGAATTGCTGACCATAACAGATATTAATTTTAAATCTTGGTAGATTCTTCCAAACCAGCATATTTCATTTCTCCTGGGTCATATAAAGGACATTTTGAGCTCAACTCCCTATGCTAAGAGAGAAAGTCCTTTTTTAGTTTGTATGGAGGACAGTATAGATTCCATCAAAATTATTGTGTCTATTATATACTTTTTATATAATCCCAAGAAATAGACTTTAAAATACTCAGCACAGCTGTACTGTTTCCTGTATGAGAAGTTTATTCTACCAGAATACCCCTATAGGCTTATTATTAAACACTAGGAATCTTTCTGAGCTATTTGAGTTCTCACTTCTCTCTAGGCTGAAATACATGAATTTATTATTTTTTTTATGGGGCTATCAGTGGATTTTTTTTTTTTTTTTTACAGTGAAAGTCCACTATCATTGAAGACCCATGTAGTTGTGGCTTTTGTCAGGGGGTGAATTTCTGAAAGGGACTTCACTTCTTGGTCTTTGGTGTGATAACACTTCTTCATGTTCATATTTTCTGTAGTATTTAGAAAATGTTGCCTTCTGAAACACGAAGCCATCTTAGGGCCAGGAAGACATATCTATAGCCTGGGAAGCAGTCTAGTTTCTTTTTGCAGGGAAAAAAAAAATAGAGACACCAGGGTTGCAGTAGTGCCTTGTATCTCTGTAGAAAGCACATACTGGCTGCCGGGTTTGAAATCCAGATCTTTGTGTGGTGTGTTTGATGACCCTTTTAGCAAAGGAAGAGTCCAAAGCATTGGGCTTCAACTAAGGGGCATGTATCCAATAAGCCGAGCCGTAGGGGAGCTGATGGGAGAAAATTTCTATGTGTGTATAATAAGGTCTTTGGGCATTTTGATGTACCTGCTATGTAAAATTGTCATCTCTGGCTTGGCCACTGGCATGAAGGAGGTAGTGGGCATGATGCCCTGAACTGCATCTTTGTTTCAGGAAGCCCGAGCAAGCTCACAGTGCCTTGGGAAATTGAGCCTGTAGGCTCTCATCTCAGACAAACTAGTACGTATATTACCAATGTAATTGACCCTTGGGATCAGCAAGTTCTGAGAATGGAAGGACTATCATTCTAGACTGCTTCGAGAGGTGCCCAGCCTACCACAGGGAGCATGTTACCTGGGCTTCGCCTCCGATCACCGAGTTCAGCTGCTCTTGGTGATGCCTATATTGCATCTACTCACAGGGATAAGGAACCATCTATGTCTGGTCAGACTGTGGCGAACAGATGCTTGAAGGAGGTGGCTGTGTTTCTAGTGAAGCTTCCTAGCCTCACTGAAAGCCTGGTATTGATCAGTGTTTGCAGGATTTACAGTGGACCTTCTGGCATGGCGAGAGGCATTCCAAAAACATCCTGATTTGCATGTGTCTTTCAAGGAGATTGTTCAAGGAGGTCACAGGATCTGGTCTCCTACCCCAGCATCCTGTTGACAGTTTTTTGACTTTGACAGTTGAATCCATTCATGGGCCTATTCAGAAGGAGGTGGCAACCTGTCACCTGCTCCCACCCAGCAGCATATTTATCGTGTGCAGGGACTGCCTGCTGGAGTCTGTCCTACACTCTCTGACCTCAGGATCCACCTCAGTGATCAGTGGCAAAGGATCAGGAGGCTTCAGCTTTCATCCTGCTTCTTCACAAGGTATAGCCTGATGAGAAGTCTTCACAAGGCTTACTTTATATTCTCTCCTTTTCACTGTAGCTTTTTTCTATGTCCATAGCCTTCCATAGCTACAGGGAATACTGTGTTTTCACTTGCTACTAGTAGGATGAGTTGCATAGGGGCTCATTAGGGTACACACACACACACACACACACACACACACACACACACACCTTTGTCCAGGACCCTTATGTAGAGTGTGATCATGACTACCCTTTCTTCTTAGTGCAGGAACAAAACATGACTCAGCAGAGTAGGCTGAAGGCAGCAGGACAGAGCCCTTCTGCCTAAATTGCTTCCCTAAAATAAAGCCAAGATATAAAAGCAACAGAAGTTGCTTCTAGAAGAAAGTGGTAATATAAGCTTCCAGCTTAAAGAAGGCATCATGAATGAACTACTTGTGAAGGAAGACAGCAAAACACACCCGGTTCCCCAGGGTTTGGTTAGCTCCTTGGTAACAAGTCTAACTTAGGCATAAAACCCTCTGACCTTTAAACACCAGCCAGTCAGAACCACACAGTTGGCATTTCCTATATTCTAATATTACTGAATTAATTACTCATGAAATTATGGGGTTATTCTGAATATGATGATCATTAGTGCTGATAATCATTATTAGTGCTAATAACTATTTGCAGGGAGTTTTGTACTCTGGTACATGAAGACCTCACTTGCGTCATCTCAGTTTTCTCACAGTGAATTCTCTGGGGAAACCCAACATCTACCATTCTTTTCTCACCGAAATTTTTTTTTTTTTCGGTGTTGATGTTTTGCTTAGTAGGCTACCAGAAAATTCCCAGAAAAAAAAAAATAGAATTTTCCAGGATTTGGAATTTGTTAACAGTTAGCTGTTTACTTCTTTGTTTATTTTATATTTCTGAAAGGCACTGAGATTTTTTTTTAATCTAGAAAACGATAGGACATAAAAAGACAAAGAAAGAGAAAAAGAAAGAGGAGTCAAAGATGACTCCAACATCTGGTCTTAAACAAGTGAAAGAATTTGTTGGTGGGGGAGAGAAAGGGAGATGTATGGGGGCGAGGGAGAGCACTCTTGATCTGCTTGCTATACATTGCAATAAAGATTTTAAGTCATTAATTGGCTCATGGGTGTTTGTAGTTCAAGAAAGTTAGGAATGAGCTGTATGTTTTCTTTGGTGTGTGTGTGTGTGTGTGTGAGAGAGAGAGAGAGAGAGAGAGAGAGAGAGAGAGAGAATGTGAATGAGAGACAGAGAACAGGCAGACAGAGAGAGAGTGAAAGAGTGTATATGTGTGTGAGTGAGAGACAGAGAAGACAGGCACACACACACATAGAGAGAGAGAGAGAACGAGATTAAAGGAGAAGGTACAGACTGGCATTTGTCTGTAACCTGGGGAATCTGGTTGAAGTGCAGGTTTTGGTTCAGTAGGTCTCAAATTCCTGCATTTCCAACAAGCTATCGATGGAAATACTCTGCTGTCTGTCGACAACACTCAGAGAAATCAGCCTGCATTGGTCACCAACAAGGGCACAGATAAATGTGTTTGCTATCGGCAAGGAATGAGAGACACAGAGCCTGCCTCCAGCCCTGTCCATATCTCTGTGCTTAGCAGAACAAGGAGTCCCTTGCACCTATAAACAGAAGTCTCTAGGTGCTCACCAAGGAAAGTAAGAAGTTAGGGTCAGTCAACTTCAGTCAATATTTAGAGCTGGTTCTTTTCAAGTTCTGTCCAGAGAACAAGGATTGCAACCCAATGGAGTGATCACTAAAATGTATTATAAATATCTTTGAAAATAGAGATTGTGTGTGTATGTATATGTTCATAGCCAGATTGCCACTGCTTCCTTTTTAAGACTTTAAAAGACTTAAGAAAAGAGTCTATCCTTCTAGTTATTACTCATAGTAGCCTGGCGAGTCTAGCAGGCATGTATTTGGATGTGGGGGAGGGGGGCCAGGAGGGAGGTTAGGTGAGCAGACAAGGGAAGCAGAGTGCACTTTTCAGCAGAAGGGTTCTCAGACCAAGGGAGATTGCATAAGTGGAAAACAGCCCAAACTGTCCAGAACTCATTGCCTAAGAAAGGATCCTGCTGAGAAGAATTACTTAAGAGCCCAGAGGGAACCTCAGGGCCTCATTGGAATAATCTAGAGCTCATCAGCCAGGATAGAGATCTCAGGGTTACCTGGCAACGGTCAGATATTAACTGTTCTCAGTAGTGTGAGCTACAGGTCTCTGCAGTAGCTATTTACCTGTGCCCCAAAACAGCCATCCATATTACGGAGGTGGATGTGGCGCTATGTCAGTAAAGTTATTTGTGAACACTGAAATGCAACTTTCATGCCATTCTTCTAATATATCTCCAAATATTAGACTTTTTATTCTTTTTCAACTATTTAGAAATGTGAAAACCACTTTTACCCTGCAGGCAGGCCTTGCACAGGCAGGTGGTAGGCTGGATTTGGCGCCTGGCTAGAGTAGATTACATGTTGACAAAGGGGGTTGGATTGGTGAGTTAGGATCTGTCTGTACAGATATTTCAGTGCAAAACTTTTGGCAGTGTTGTAAGATAGCCCAACACAAAGTTTAGCATCAAAAATATTTTCTACTGAAATGGGGGAATGGCAACCATGGGAATATTTCAGATTAATGTTATTAAATGCACCAAGACTATTCTTTGTGCCATACAAGTTCACTAACATGAGTTGCTTTCCAATAGTGATACTACTCCTTCATCACCCTCCAGACAGTATTTTATTTTTACCTGACCCCCTTAGTGGTCTTTCTGAGTGGTACTGACAGGCATCAGCCCCATTCCACAGAAGTAACTCAGAGCTGGAGTCATGAATTTAAGGTGAGAGTAACTACCAGGGGACTCACATCTGGGTCTTTTCCTTCCAAATGCTATTTTTGTTTTCATTCCCCCAAGAAGGTGATCAAATCCTCAGATGTCATTTGCTAGAAGATAAAGCTTCCCTTCGGAGAGAGAGAGAGAGAGAGAAAGGAGAGAGAAAGGAGAGAGAATGTCAAGGATTATTAAGTAGAAATGGAGTCCTATGTAGGTTTGGAAGCTGGAGGTATGAGAAGCCAAACGGAACAGATCAAAAGTGATTTTCATTATTCATGAATGGTCCCAGACAATCCAGAAGTAGGCAGTGATGCCCATGAACTGTCCACAGTCTTAGTAAACTTCCCATTCTGGGGCCACCAGGACCATAGCTGTTGGTACTCAGGTGACTGTTTTATGCAGAGGAGCCTACCTGATAACATGCCCTGTCATTTCAGGATCTATAATGACAAAGAGCTGCAACTAAAAAGTTGCTTTTACACCAGATATTCTTGTGCTTGTATTTTCTGTCTCCAATTTTCCTAAACCTGCTCTTGTTGACTTTTTCTCTTGACCTTCAAGAGTATAGATAAAGAGAAAGACTCCTAGTTGTGTAAGTCATAAGGAACAAGGGCTCCCCTTGGCTAGTCAACCACTTGTTGACACATCAACAAGAACGTTTTTGTGGACAGCAGCTGTCCCATAGCCTTCCTGGGCAGGACCCCCTGCCATGCTGTGTTAACTCTTGGTTAATGCTAGATTATCAGAAGAGAATCAAGAATTTCATATGTGGTCAGGGAATGAATGGCATTTAACCCAGATGCCTTTTTCTAGGTATCTGAATCCCAAAGTGGGCAGCTGTGACCATGAGGGGCCTCTGAGGTACTGTTTTAGTAGTTCCTGCTTTAATGTCTAGTCTGATGGCTTAGAACAACTGGCAATAATAGGAACCTATGAGCTGCAGCTGTTCCTGTGTCCATGACACTAGAGAGCAATTCCTCATGTAGCATGACCCTTCCTCATCCTCTCTCCTTTTAGCTCACGTGTCTTCATGTTGAACGTTGTGTCTGTCTTGTTCCTGGCTGCAGCATCAGTTTGCACTTCCCCTGCAGTGGGGCCCAATCCAGGAGGTAGTGCTGAAGAAAGTCACCTTCCAAGGTTTGGCTAAATGGGAAGGTGGGAGCTCTGCCTGGCCACCCTGGGAGCAGGTGAAAGAGAGAACAGAGGATTTGTGAAGGAGAGAAGGACACATTTTGTGTCTCTGTCCTGGTGCTCACCACTTTGGGAACTCCAAGACTGCATGAGGGCCTTTGCTTTTCCAGGTTGAACTTGAGCACTCTAATTCCCCTATGGCTCCAACATCAGCGTCTGGGACTTCGAACAAAAGGCCCAAACTTCATGCTGGAGGACTCCACCTTTCAGATATTTGGGGGATCCATACACTATTTCCGTGTGCCCAGGGAATACTGGAGGGACCGCCTGCTCAAAATGAAAGCCTGTGGCTTGAATACCCTTACCACGTAAGTTCATTCCTTTACCAAACTTGGCTACCAAATGGAGCCACTGGTATTTGCAGGAAGGTAAGTATTAGAGGAAGTCAGCCTAAGCTACTTGCTAAGGCTTGCAAGCTCTACAGACCTCCCTACAGATGAGGTAGCAGTCAGGACCAGGGAGAGAGAGAGAGAGAGAGAGAGAGAGAGAGAGAGAGAGAGAGAGAGGAGAGAGAGGAGACACAGAGATAGACAGAGAGAGGTGGAGAGACATAGAGAGACACAGTGAGAGACAGGGGGAGAGAGCGACAGAGAGAGACACACAGAGAGATACACAGAGAGTGCTGAGAGAGAGAGAGGAGTGTTGAGCATAGTTATGGGAGGTGACTTGTTTATTCATCTGCGCCTCGAATAAATGAACTTGGGTTTTTCACAGTTCTGCAGGCTAACCAGTCATGGTCAAGCTGCCTCTAAGTTTGGTTTCCCCTGGAGCCTCTGTGGCTTCTGGAGAACTGCCGTCTCCCTTGTGTCTTCAGATGACGTTTCCACTGTAGTTGTGCACTGTTAGTGTCTCTTCTTTTTTGTTGATGCCATAAGGACATGCTACCAACACTTTTCTTTCCTCGAGGAAGGTTGGCCGCGCAGCTCAGGGTGGCTTCAGACTCTCTGTCCTTGAGTAGAGTCTTGAATGCTGCGATTGCAGGTGTGTACCGCCTTGTCTAAATTGACCAGTAACTTCTGTTTCACAAACAACTTCCACTTCCCAAATTTATACGCTGGACGAGTGTGTTCCTCTTCAAGGGTAGTGGCCTGCCAGCAGTTCAGCATTTATTTTTGGAAAGATCTTTGGATGCTTGTGACTGTCACCCCTGCTTCTAGCCTGATGGCTGTTCCTTGGCAGGCACAAGGTAAAACGTAGACTGTGCAAGTTAATGAAAAGATAGGTTCAGGAGCTGGAGAAGGCGGCTTATCAGTTAAGAGCAACCAGAGTTGGGTTCCCACATTCATGTCAGCCTCACAACCTGCTTGTAACTCTCACAACCTGCTTGTAACTCCAGCTCCAGAGGCACCTTTGGTCTCTCATGCACATAGCCTTCCCCCCAACTTGTGAGACACATACACATAATTAAAATCGATTAAATTGAAAAAAAACAGGCTCAGTTATGAATATTCTTGATCTCTTCATGGATTTGTTTTCAAAATCACTAATGTATATTTGGTGCTGTCTCTATGAAATAAAAAGGACAAACAGGTTGAAATGCTTCATTATCAGGCAAAAGAGATACGATTATAAATCAGGTAAGTGGGCTACCTTGAGTGGTTTGTGAACTGGCTTTGAAGACGGTTATTAAAAAGACAGCCACAGGGCTGTTGAGAGTAATGTGGAAAACTTCTCAGAGGACTCCTAACGGTATTAAGAATGCTGCACTGTGTTTTAACTTGGGGTCATAGAGCCTGACCTTTTACCCCACATATCTCACACTTCCCCTAAGTTTATGTCCTCCTAAGGAGATGTGCTATTCTTCCTAGGGCTTGCCTTAAATTCTCTCTGGTCCCCATGTCTGCTCCCGAGCTATGAAGTTATTGAAAACTGTTTCTTCAGCCATCATAATGGGTGTTAGAAGTAAAAACGCCTATGTGGATGAACCAACTTACCTGTAATTATCTTGTCTCTTACAGCTATGTGCCATGGAACCTCCATGAGCCAGAAAGAGGCAAATTTGACTTCTCTGGGAACCTGGACCTGGAGTATGTGGTCTTAATGCTTCTGTACCTGTTTTGGGACTGGAAGTTAGTTGGGGTTGATGAAGAGCTCTCAGGATGTCGTGTCTTGGCTCTGCTTTGAGAAACTGAAGACTAGGTCTGGAGCCTTTTTTTTAGGCTGCTGAGAAAGGCTCTGAACTCAGGGCCTTTGTTCTCCCCAACCGTGACTTATTACCCAGGGGACTCAGCCTACAGGCTCCAACTCCCCTTTTCACTACAGTTCAGAGGACCAAGATCCTAGATTCCACCACGCTCTGTGTTGGGGTTCATACACCTGGGATAGAATTGGGGCTGCTTCTGGGTGAACAAGGATGTTGTCGGGTACAAAGGCCATGAACCTTGTCTGAAAACTCCCAGTGGGCCTGTGCAGATGGTCCTGAGGCAAGGAGCCAGTGCACACCCAGCTCCTGGGGTTCTGCACCCTATATTATGCAGAAATCCCCTCCCAAGCCCTCCTTATGCCATGTTCCCTGGTAGAGAGAAGAAGGTGCAGGGAGGAACAGGAAAGCTTTGATACCCAGAGTACCCGTGGTTCCTGCCGTATTGTAGCCTTTATTCTGGATCCCCAGGGCTGACTTATTTTTCTCCTCCCTAGGGCCTTTATCCAGCTGGCTGCAAAGATTGGGCTGTGGGTGATTCTGCGACCAGGGCCCTACATCTGTAGTGAGATTGACCTCGGGGGCTTGCCCAGGTGAGAGAGGGCAGTGCGGGTCTCCAGAGTAGCTAGAGGGGTCTGGATGCCCATTTATGTGGCTTAGAGGTGTTGGTTTAGTTTTGTCTCTAAGGTAGTTTTCATTCTGTGCAGAATTTCCTTGGAATAGGTGCCACTGACATTGGGCCATTGGCATAATGCTGCCAACTGCCCTTGTTGAGTACCCTTGGTCCTTCTTTGTGTCAGGTGGCAGCAGTGGGAGGGGTACCTTTCTGGAGGCCTTTTATCCTTCTGGACACAATGGAGAGGCACCCAGGCAAGTTATTTATCTGATCTGGCCCTTACTACAAATGAGACAAACCAAACCTGCCTTATCTGTTTCTTAGAAATATTGTTGGTGATTTATTAAAACCCCAAGCGTTGCTGTAGTGTAGAGGAGTTGGTGTTGCTGTTTTGTCCTCAGTTCTCCTGGGTCTGTTCTGGAAGTGGCATGGGGAATACTCCCCTCACAGCACAAGCACTATGCTCAGGCTTTATCTGCTCTGTTTCCAGCATGGCCTGCCTTTCCATAAGGGGCACAGCTTGTCTCCTATCCAGCAGCCAGTCAGTCTGATCTGGCACAGTGTCTCAGGCAGAGCTGTGGGCAGAGACAAGCTGCTTGCCCCTCTCTGCGGATTAGACACCTGTGCCACTGTCAGCATTTTCCTTGGGCTCAGCTGGAGCTGGGAATAGGAGGACAACAGGGTTTAACAGTCTCAAATTAGACGCAATGGGGACACTCCCTCTCAGATCTGCCCTCCCTTGCCATGGAGGGGACGCCTGCATATTCATGAGGTGTTCCCAGGAGGGTAGGGTGCAGTGAGAAACTAGACCTGTTTGATACATCGGTATATGCAGGTCAGGCTAAGGGAGACACTCCCTCTAGCTTTTCACTATCAACTGGCATTCCCTGATGTGTTTCTGTCTTCTTTTCAGAGTTTCTAAATTAGGGAAAGGGAGACTTGAGAGTCTCTTGTTAGAGAGTAAGTTTCTTAGGGCTTCATTTGTATGGGAAGCACCTTGACTTTAGCTTTGGAGCCAGCCTCTGAGTTTCTGCTGGAATCTGTGACCACAGCAGATCATGGGAATACTTCTGTCTTGCCCACCTGCTGCTGCCCTGGTGGCAGACTTCAGGGCCCAGGCTTACGAGTTTCTCTTAACATCTCACACCTCTGTCAGGTTCACTTTCTGGGGCATCCAGGAAGGTTGACCCTGGGCTTCTCGAGTCCCAGTGATTTGTAATCCTTTTGACATTGCCTGTCCTCATGTCTTGGGATAGGGTCTTATTGCATAGGCCAGCCAACTCACTGTTTAGCTCAGGCTGCTTTTCAGATTGTGATTCTCCTGCCTCAGCTGAGTGCTGGGATTCCAAAAGTGCTCTACTGTGCCTGCTTTGGTCTGTTAGTGTAAATACTTGAAAACCAGGACTTGCTCTTCTCATTCCAGTGGACAGTTGAGAGTGCCTGTAGCCATGAACTTGAACCCAAACTTCCCGAGGCATTCAACTTGCAGGCTGATGCTGTGGTGTGCTTGCCCCTGGACTGTGTGCATAGCTTCTTGACTTCCTCGCTAATTAGAGGTGGTGGGTGGAGATTAGCCTGGCCTGACTTAGACTCACTCTTGAGCTGTCTGAAAGCTGCTCCCCTCTCCCTGCTCACCAGCCTGCCCAAGGCAAACACACAGACTGTGATACTGATACTTCTCTCCCTTCCTTCTGTCTCCAAGCTGGCTCCTCCAGGACCCTGGTATGAAGCTGAGAACAACTTACCATGGCTTCACTAAAGCAGTGGACCTTTACTTTGACCACCTGATGTCCAGGGTGGTGCCACTCCAGGTAAAAGAAAAAAAGAAAAAAGGCTTTTGACCTTCTCCTGCTCATCTTCTAAATAGTAGTTAATCCTTGCTAAGCCCACAGACGAGGGTCCTGCAGTTCTCAACACAACATGGACACATTCTTTGCGACTGTGTGAGACCTGGGTTTAGAACCAAGGGACTGCAATACTTGTGTTTTCAAAGAGTGTAGTCTCACTGAAATGACTGGCTGAAATGACAGGCTGGCACAAGGTCACCCATTAATCTGTGCAGCCAAATTATAACCAAACACACAACTGGACTTGGGGACATAGGATGTGAAACATGCATCTGTCAAAGTCCCAGCAACACAGTGATCCAGTGCTACACAGAGCACAGAACACAGGTTAGGCCCAGGATAGGGTAGGAAAGTTTCTTGTAAGTACAAAGCTGTAATTGATTTCTTTGTAAACTACTGCGCTATGCCACCAAAAGGTGCTGTACAATTCACACTGACTTTTCAAAACAAAGATATTGAAATGAAACTTAGGGATAGAGAATGTTAATATCTTACATAACAATTACAAGCAATAACAAACAGGAATGGGATTATATATCCCAGTTGCTATGTAAAACCACAAATAATGATATTGGGAAATTAGTACAGCAATAAAAATTAGTGCATTGACCAAAAATATCACTCTTGGGTTAATGGTTTGAAACATTCATAGCAACGTAAGTCAAAATAGCAAAATCAAACATGTTATCATGGTTGGTTTGAAAACCAGATAACTAAGGAAAAACTCTTATATATGTATACCTCAGTATCACTTGAGTCATGTTTATATTTACAAACTATTGCCTATTGATAGAAAAAAAAATCCTCCTTGTAAATCAAATGTAACTGAGTGTCCCGCCTTTTTATTTACTAAACTAGGCATTAATGGATATGAAAGAAGTAGGAAGCGTGGAAGCTCTTAGCCTCGGTTTTCCCGGGGAGCATGGAGTTCCTGAGATGGTCTGGTACATCACGTGGTGGGAACAGCAGTGAGGGTTGTGCTGGGAATGCATTCTGAGACATGTGACTGGCACAGCCAAGTTTGTTCAGGGCTGTAGCACAGTTGTTTCACTTGTTTTTATTTTTTTTTATTGTGTAAAACATATGTAATTGTTATGTTTCAAGTATACAGTTAATCATTACTAAATATATAGTAATCTTCCTTATTAAAGTGGATATATTCCAAGACCCTTAATGGGTGCCTAAGACCACACATAGGCATAAACCTTACACATATTACATATTCCTATTCATAGACACATACTGAAGTTTGAAGGAATTCTGGCCAGCTCCAGTGTGGCGCTCTGGCAAGCCTTGCCATTTTCCTCAATTCCCTCTGCCTTGCTAAAAACCATTAGATTACATTTCTAACCCAAGGTCTCTTCCCTTATTTGGGCAATTTCTCCTCCTGAGGCTGACTACCATTGTCCAGCTATCAAAGCATTATGGTCCAGCAATCAAAAGCCTCCTTTGGCTAACCTAATTAACATGCTTAATTAAAATTAAACACATCATCCTAACATGGGATTTCCCATTTTACCTTTATAAACCATCATTTTCCTATGGAACATGTCTGTCTTCTCTCTATGCAGAGACAGTTCTTTGTTCCCCACCTCTGGACAAACACCTCCTACCCCTCTCCCTTGTCCCCTTTTCCCCATCTCCTTTGTTCCCTTCCCCTTCTCCTTCTTCCTCTGCCTCCTGTTTTTGTCTTTTATCCCTGCCCTATGTCCCTCTGGGGCAAATAAATTTCCTTTGTGTTGAGAACATGGTCTTGGGGTGTCTTGAGCTGACTTCAAGGTTCCCTACACAGATTACATGGATAAGATAGAGTAAGACATTAACAATAACAGCGTCATAAAAAGAACAGTTATAGCAATACACTGCAATAAAGTTGTCAGGATCGCTAATCTTAAACTGGGGCTGTTTTAAAGTACAGTCAGGGCTACTTATACCCAAGCAGTGCAGTCCTGCAATTCATCTGAAATCGAGGTAGCCACTAAGTGACTGACAGATTGTGTACAGCATGGACACCCTGGACAAAGAGATGATCTACAGTGAGGCCGAACATGATAGGATGATGCCAGCTTTCATCAGATTCCTCCTCCCTTTGAATTTATGCACAATTTAAAATTTATGATCTGTACATGGAATTTTCCAGTTCATATTTTCATACTGTCGTTTGCTATAGGCAGTTGAAACCTGCAGCACAAGCCCACTACTGTGTGATGGTTTCAGAACAGCAGTTAAGGGGAAACTATTTTATGATGGAGACAACTGCTGAGGGGGAGCTGTTGTATGATGGCTGAAAACAAGAGCTAAAGGGAACAACTGCATGACAGCTTAGACATAGGAAGGCTGGAAAAGTTCTGACAGCTAGAAATTCAACCAATCAGTCAGTCAATCAATTAACCCCATCCCAACCTTATCGCACTGTCTCCTCTGTCCTTTCTCTCCTACGTTGGATGGCTCACCTGTACTAGGTAAGCACTTTATCACTAAAGCACCTCTTTAGATCATGTTTTGTTTTGTTTTTTTTATAAAGATACTAACCACTCATGAAGGCTCCATCCTCATGATCTAATCACTTTTTAGAGGTTCTATCTCTTTCTCTCTTTTTTTCTGATTTTTCTAGACAGAGTTTCTCTGTGTAGCCCTGGCTGTCCTGGACTCTTTTTGTAGACCAGGCTGGCCTCAAACTCACAGAGATCCACCTGCCTCTGCCTTCCGAATGCCGTGTACCACCCTCCATGGTGGTTCTGTCTCTTAATAACATTTGAGATTATGGTTTCAACATGTGAATTTTGACATAATTCAAACATCTAACATTCTAGCTCAGGAAAAAGTGGAATCAGTGGAATGGGGAAGTGATCCAGACCGTCTACAGAACTGATACACAAAACTTCAGAAACACCTGACATCCCCTACGAGGCAAATGTGGGCTCCAGGAAAATGCAGGTATAATGCAAGATCAGGGATTCTATCAGCCACTAAAAATGAGAAAGATGAGGGCTACACGGAAGATATCTTCACATAATACAGGCATTTACAGAAAGCTCACGGCCAGCATTATCCTAAATAGAGAAAAACTCAGCATTTTTACTAAAATCAGGGAGGAGACAAGGATGTACATACAACCTCTACATACCTCTACATACAACCTCAACATAGCACTTGAATTCTTAGCTAGAGCAATAAGAAAGACAACTGAAGGAAATCAAGGTGATAGAAATAGGAAAAGAAGAAGTCAAAGTATTCATATTTGCAGACAATATGATTATATATTGCAGAGAGAGAGAGGAGGCAGTTTTACCAGGACAGTAATAGAGAGACAGGTTGCAGAGAGAGAACTTGGGTGAAAACAAAATGAGCCAGAGAATGAGAAGGAGCCAGAACACTAGAAAAGATTGCTGGAGTTAGTTTGAAGCCAAGTGGAGTACTTTAGGGGTCAAGAGAAGCCAGACTGAATCAGGCAACTGGGAAAGTAGTTTTAGCCACAACAGCTGAATTGAACTAGCCAGCTTTGAGCTCAGAAAGAACAAAGGTGAGCTTCTTAAGTAGTAAATCTCAGAGGCTGAAACATTCTAGGCCTAGGTTAGATTGTACGGAGGCTAGAAGCTTCCATGACTAGTTCTAGATTAGCAGACAGAGGCAATAAACCTCCAGGGCAGCAATTACTTCAGGAGAATAAAAGATACTTTTACGGTATATGTAAAAGACACTAAGAACTCCATCTGGAAACTTGTACAGCTGATAAACAATGGATACAAAATTAATACAAAAATCAGTAACTCTATATAAACATACTGAGAAAGACATTAGAGAAATAGTAACTTTCACAATAAACTCAAGACTTGTGCACTAGAAACTTTAAGACATTGGAGGAGATATCAGAAGATGGAAAATCTCTCATGCTCATGGATCAATAGAATTAACATAGTAAAAATGACCATCTTACTGAAAGCAATGTACAGATTCAATGCAATTTCCATCAAAATTCCAACACAATTCTTTACTGAAAAAAAAAAACCCTTAAATTTATGTAGAAACATAAAAACCCCAGGATAGCTAAAATAATCCTGAATAATAAAAGAAATGTTGGAGGTATCACCATCCCAGATTTCAAGTTGTATTGCAGAGATTTACTAATAAAAATAGCATGATGTTGGCATAAAAACAGATACATTGATCAATGGAATAGAATTAGAGACTCAGACATAACTCTGCACACCTATGGCAAAGAACCCGAAAATACACCCTCGGGAAAAGACAGCATCTTCAACAATGGTGCTGGTTAATTTGGATGGATAGAGATAGAAGAAAGAAAATAGATTCATATCTATCACTCTACACAAAACTCAACTCTAAATAGATCAGAGACTTCAGTGTAAAACCTGATACCCTGAATCTGATATAAAAGAATGTAAAGAATTCACTTGAACTCACTGGCACAGGAAAAGACTTTCTTAGTGGGACCCAAGAGCACTGGGGTCCTTAAAAGACCAGCAATCAATAAATGGAACCTCACAGAGGTAAGCAGCTTCTGTATGGCAAAGGGCACTATCATTGGACCAAAGTGACAGCCTATTGCAAGGGGAAAATGTCTGTATAAATTACATCTGACCGAGGTGGTGGATGACTCCATGCACAAGAGTATATATGACCTCAGAAACTGTGGCGGCATGCCCAAGACCCCCACAAGTTCAAGCCAGACAAAATTCTAGCATGGAGAAGGGGAAGTGGACACAGAGTTCACCTTTAACCAAGAAGCTGCTTGCAATTGCCAGGAGAAGGAAAAGCTATTTTCTCCAATGGAGAGACACTGTGTATATCAGTCACACTCCAGGGCAGGCACCATGCTTAAGAGTAGTTGGACAACATAAAGTGGACTGTATGTTTTTGTCCTTTTTGTTTGTTTGCTTTACTTTGATTTTTTTATCTTTGTTTTGGTTTTCTTTTTATCAAGTGAGAGAGAAAGAATATAGAGTTGGGTAGGTAGGGAGGTGGAGAAGAACTAGGAGGAGTTGGAAGAGGGGAAAGAGTATGATTAAAATTTATTGTGTGAAGAAAAGTTTAAAAGCCAACGTATTAAAAAAAGATTTCAGTAGACAATGTTGTCATGCCAGTATCCCATTGCTTTGATAACTGGCTTTGTAGTAAGTTTTGAAGTCAGAAGCATGAGGTCTCTTCTTATTAGCTTTTTACATTGTTTGACTCTTAGGTTCGTTTGGAGTTCAGATGAATTGTCTTTTTTATTTCAGCAACAACTCTGGGGTTGTAATAGGGATTGCATGGCCTCTGTAAATCACTGGACAGCACTGACCAGCCCTTAACATTGGTGACTCTTCCAACACGTGGACCCAGAATTTCTTTCTTTATTGGTATCTTCTTTACTTTTTTAAAAAATATCAATTTGTAGTATTTCATTTTCTTGGTTGAATTTATTCTTTCTTTATTCTTTTTCATGCTGTTTGGAATTGCTCATTGGTTGTGTATAGAAATAGAACTGACTTCATTTTTGTTGATTTTGTGTCATGTCAGCTCGCTGAGTTGGTTCATAAACTGTAACAGACTGTTGTGTGTCTGTGAAGTTGTAGATGATTTTCTACATTCAGATCATGTTGTACAAGTAGCAATGTCTTAATGTTTAACATTTGTGCAACCTTGCTTTCTTTTGACTAATCTTTAGCTAGGGTTGGGCCTATGTTGAACAGAATCAGTGAAGGAGTCCTTGTCTTGGTCTGCATCTAAAGGAAAAGTTTCTGGTCTTTCACTGCTGAGTGTGGTGTTGGCCATGGACCTCTCATATGTGGCTTTGTTATGTTCCTAGTTTGTTGAATGTTTTATTTTATTGAATTCTGTCTAGTGTTTTTTTTTTCTGTACAAAATGGAAATTGTGTGAAATTTTCCTTATTTTCAGAATGAGTTTACATTGGTTTTTGTATATAGACTCCCCCTTACATTGCATAATTTAATCCCATTCTTGTTGTATAATCTTTTAGAATCAAGGATTAGTTTGTATTGTTTCTTAATTGTTTTTGGACAGTGTCTCACTTTGTAGCCCTGGCTCACCTGGAACTCACTGTATAGACCAGGCCTTAGACTCACAGAGATCTGCTTGCCTTTACCCTCGGGGTGCTGGTGACTAGGTTTTTTTGTTTGTTTAGTTATAATGTTCTCTAGCTTGGTAGTACTGGCCTCATGGAATAACATAGGGAGTGTTTTGACCTTCAGTTAGTGTTAATTCTTCTGTCAGTATTTAATAGAGACAGTGAGTATAATCTTAATACTAGGGAGACAGAAACAGGGAGATTGAGAGTTCAAGGACATCCTGGGCTACAGAGTAAATTTAAAGTCAGTTTAGACTATATCTAGGTCCGGGGTAGTCTGTACTATACAGTCAGAACTTGTTAAAAAAAGAAACTAAAAGAAAAGCCAAAATAAAATTCATCAGTGAAGCCTGTGGTCCTGGTCTTTTTTGATTGGGAGGTTCTTGTTTACTGAATCCAAACTTCTTACCAGTACAGCTGTGTTTACATCTTCTTTTTCTTTGTGATTTACTATATTTCCAGGAATTAATATATTTCATCGAGGTCATGAAATTTGTGTAGAGCCTTTACATTTATCTTTAAAAAATAGTATTTTTATTTATCCTTTGATCATTTCATACATACATACATACATACATACATACATACATACATACATACAT